GTTTTATGTGTGTTTTTTCCGAGTATGATTGAAATTGATTTGAGGTCCATGCGATAAATCACTATTAGTCTGCACAAACAAAGCACAAGCCATTCTAATCAATTGAATAATATTGTGCCTCTTAGATGGAGGACAAGGATGGATCAGGATGAGAAATGCAAAATATGTCATTCAGATATGTCACAGGCCACACTGTAGTGCATACTCATTCAACATGTAAAGAGTCCATGTTGTGCCAATAGGCTGGCAATAGAATCCATAAGGGATGTTTCAGAGCGTTATAATAATATGAAGAGCATTTGTAGAGGCTTGTTGTAAAACATTAAACATGCCGAATAGTAGTATTTACAAAATGTACTGCCACAAATCTATTGCATTCATCCTGTTATAATAAAACCGAATGAGTCTATCTTATCGTATGAAATTGACAGTCAAATATGGTCCCATCACTGAGAACATTCTTACACGTGTCCATTCTTTCAATATTCACAAGCACTTCATTAACGAAGTTATGTTAATTTTTAATAATGTAGCCACAGTCAGAGAACATTAACATACACCATACCTCCAAATGATCATTTATGAATAAAAATGAGAGATTATTATATGATAATGAAATGCATATTTACTGAAATATTCATTACTGGGGTGAATGAGACACCTACCAAAATTATTGCTTAAATAATTAAATGAGAGAATTGAAGCAAATGGGCAAAGAAGAAATTTGCACAAACACACAAAGATTATTGAAGTAGATAGGTGGTGCAGAACTGGAAAACGAAAGGAATGTAGCACTGAGGATATCTGTACAATGTGATTTTTACGACCACTAACTGCAACAAATATGAACACACATCATACACACACATACACACACACACAGGCCCTCAGTATGGCTGAAAAAAGTGGGTATTTTACTTTGGGAGTTAATGGGAATAAAATACCTCAGTGGATGAGTGCAGATGTGTTTGATACAAATAGTCATTTTCCTATTTGCTGCCTCATTGAGCATGATGAATGATTGGAGTCAGAGAAGCGCCGTGATAAATGGCAGCACCTTGGCTCCATTGCATGCCCTATTGATTCTCCTTCTTTATTACCCCTACAACCCAGCTGGTTGCTTTGCTCTCTGCACACACACACACACACACACATACACACACACACACACACACACACACACTGCAACCCTGGGGAAGGGGTCCTTCCTCTAGAACGTTGCCTCCAACAGAGAGACGGTAGAAAAATAAGTTTTCTCATTAGCTGAAACCATCAGTGAGCTCACATTGCTATTAGGAGCCTAATTTGAAGTGTACAAGCTCTCATATATGAAAATGATGGGAACTTGTGCACATACCCTGCTGCAGAATGGTGTGTACAGTAAGAAATGAAATCAACAAATATGTGCAATCAGCAAAACCTATGGACGTCGTCGAAGCCTTTCTACGTAGTCTTCAGCCACCAGAAGATTGCTGTAGGAGGATATAATGAGGCTCTGCCACCCATTGAAATGTAATTACCTTGCACTTCTACACTCTGAGTTGGAAGGTGAGAAAAGATGAATAGGGAAAGTAAAAACCGCTGACCCTTCAAACTTTAATTTACATTCAGCATTTCCTTGACCTTGTTCGGAGATTCGGAGAGGTAATAATTTAGGGCATTCTGTGATAATGATAAATGGTCTGTGTGTTCATGTTCACTGGTGCCAATATATTGTCCACTGTGTACATATATGTTACTTATGGTGGACAAAGCTATTATAAAGCTGAGCTACTGGGTCCACCATTAATATGAGATATTCTACCCTGCAAAATAAAAGTTTTCTGTAATAATAATAATAATAATAATAATAATAATAATAATAATAATAATAATAATAATAATAATAATAAACCTCAATCCTACTAGATTGACATAATTATCAGCTCAATGTTTCAGTTTCAAGTAATATTCACACAATAAATACTGAGCATATGTGGCTCTCGATGCAACCATTTATGTTAAAATAACTATACTAATGCATCTTATATTTAAACAGTTCCACTTAAATATAAAAAAAATTCTTGTAAATTTACAGTATTTTCATGACAGCACAGTTGCAGGACTAGTAACCTCATATTAGCATAAAAATCATCACTGCAAATTTACACTCATGCTTCTGTTTTAAGTCTTTGATTGCATCTTAATATACATCTTACAGTTAAAGTTAAAATCAACAAAATAATCTAATAAAATGTTCATATAAAAGCCTTCACTTAATTACAATCACTTTTTTTCCCAAATAGCTAGCTAACTAATTTCACTAGCTAGTATTAGAATGTTTTGTAGGGGCTGGCTGCTAGCTAGTTATATGAACGTTGCCTCACTGTTAGCTGTTGCTTTTTGATTACAGGATTATTATTACAGCATGTATTATTATATTAATATATTTTGGTCTTTAGTGTTTATATTTATGTAGTTATACCCAGCTATATGGATTACCTGTATAAACTAGCAGGCTATTTGTTAGCTAGCTAGCTATCTAGCAAATATTAGCTAGCTAGGTCTCTGTATCAAGCTGTAAAATTATTATATTGGGATGAAATAAATATTTTGTACAGTTTTTGGAAGGCAATCTTTAAGGTCACAGGTTCTCATTCTTTGAATGTTAATATATAAATGTATGTAATGTATGTATATACAGTAGAAAGCACATCTCTGCTATTCCTGTCAGTTGTCAAATAATCTCATAATATGTCATTTTCTTATTGTGGGTTAAAATTTGAGAAACCCATAGTGCCCTTTACACTTTATCTACAGACACAATTTAAAAAGTAACTGTAATTGTTTTTGTTTGTTTGTTTGTTGTTGTTGTTGTTTTTGGCTCAGTTGTGCTTTGGAAAATTCATGTTGTTTTATTGGTGTCCTTTCTGCGTGAGTTTTCTCAGCACTGGATATCTTCCACATTGGATATATTCCTGGGCGCTGGCTGCATTAATATTCAGTCACATGTCCCTGCAACCCTGCTACATCTCAGAGAGGATATTGTGGTTAAGGCTAATTTTCCCCACCATTCCCAGACTGGGAGAGGTGGGCAAAAGCAGCCTCTGTCAGTTCATTAGAACCTGACAGCCTTTCAGCTAACGTCCACCCCGAGAAGCGGTGTCTCTAATCAAAGTCGACATGCATACACACACATACACACATGCGTTCACACATGCATCAGCAGCTCCCCCCCACCCCAATCCCACCACCACCCAACACACACAGAGAAAATTCGCTAATCAAAAAGTGTATTTCCTTGCAGTACTCTCTGGAGAAATCTGTTGGGAGAAAATTGGAATAATTTATTAGCTTACAAGTTTGGGTTGACAATTGGCCCACTGCTATTTATCTCTGTAATAGAGAATGTCTCCAATGTGGCAAAACTGACCAAATCAGATAGCTTTGATTAGAGAATGAAGCTGGCAAGTTTGGACATCTTTTTGTCTCAGTGGAATGTATGCACAGCAATAACCAGACAAGTGCACAAACTGATCTGACAAGTGACTCCATCGTATTAGCTTTCAAGGTTCCAAGCATGAAATGTCCTTATGCCTCAACCATTCTTCCAAAATAAAAATAAAAAATACAATGGGTCATAAATAAGGTTATGATCATTATTTATCCCAGAATAATTCATTTAATTGCTCTTGCTGAGACCGCCGAGAGTTTAGAATGCACTTGCACTGTTGAGTGTGTGTTTTCTGTTATGAGAAAACTGTTTTGCATTTCAAATAAGTGCATTACTAATTAAGTGGCAGATTAATGGAATTTTTTTTCCTGGCATCAACCATAAAGATGGGTGAATATTTGGATCATTATTTAGCCTTTATTACTCGTTACCCTGATGGTATGTCACTCCAGGTTTGTCTGGCTAATTTATGTCTGATGGTACAATGCCTGCGAGTTGTTAATGTTTATTTTGTCTCATTTGCATTGAGAGATGCATTTGATGGATTCAGAAATGGATTGACGTGAGATGGAAGTGAAAGTGGGAGATTTCGAACATTGCCTGTGCAAGGAGGAAGATCAAAACAGTTGGCCTTCTTGCACTCTAATGTGTTTTATCCCACATGCTTGGAATGGTCACCAGAGTTTATTTAAGAGATGAAAGAGAAAGAATATTTCCCGGACTTGTTAAGTGGCTAAATTGTTCTGAAAGCACCTGTTAAGATTTGAACGTGCCCGTAAATTGCATTTTCAAATTAAGATCATGAAAACAAGACCCCACAAAATTAACTGTTTTTCCTGCATTGTAACAATATCCTGTGTATAGTAGTACTACTAGTACTGCATTAGTACTGATTTAGGAAAGCCTTTATAGCCTTTGGGTTAATCTACAGCAAAGGTATTCAACAAAAAATTTGTAAAGGTCCAGCTACATAAAATTCCTTGCTTGCATAGGTCCAGATAAGCAACTAACGTGACTGAACGGCGACAGCAATGACCTTTTAGCGTTTAACCATTAGTGGCTAGTTTATGGCTATAAATAAGACAATTTGAATTAGTTATGTTTCGTTTCCTAGTGCTGCTTCGCATTACCACTTTTGATGAGTGCCAGGGACTGAACAGATAAGACGTCTACTTTGAATTTCAAAATATGTTGACTTATTTTAAACAGATCAGTCTATAAATCTGTGAAAAGTCTACCTTTTCAGAACTGTAGCTAATCTGTAGCCTGATGAGCTGTAAAAAAAATATTTACAGAAATGTTTAAATGATCGGATAAATTTCCAAAGATGCCGAGCTGGTTTTTATCCATCTATTTTCCATACCGTTTATCCTACACAGGGTCATGGGGGATCCTGGAGCCTATCCCAGGCGGGGGACCCCCTGGACAGGATGCCAACCCACTGCAGAGCACAACTGAACACCCATTCACACACTACAGACAATGTGGAAATGCCAATCAGTCTACAGTGCATGTGTTTGGACAGGGGGAGAAAACTGGGGTACCCAGAAGAAGCCCGGAGCACACAGGACAGAGGTGGGATTCGAACCCACAACTCAGAGGTGCGAGGTAAGCATGCTAACCACTAACCCATCACACCTCCCGCCAAGCTGGTTTGTGTTTAGAAAACTATACTCACTGAAATATGGCCATTTTTTCTATATGCTTATTGGTTCTGCCATGGTTTTTTTCAAGTACTCCTTTGGTCTGCTGAAATACTGGGCTAACCTAGATGGCAGTCTGTCATTTGACAACCCCTGATCTACACATACATTCTGATGAGTCTCTATACAGTTGGACGTTCTGTGTTGTTTACGGTGAATTCAGCCTATGTGTATGTTTTCTCCAAGAGCAAAAACCATTACACATAGCAGGGCTCCTGTGCTGTAGGTTTGCTCATTTTGTCTCATAGATTTCACCTGACTGCTTTAAAAGTCCATTTGGACCGGTGCCTAAAATCACCTGCTCCAAGTCTCCAAAGAACCAGCACTCAGCCTAATTTGTATGCATTATCAATTAACAAACTTAATAGCCGGCAGATTGATTAGATCCTCAGTTAGAGAGGGTAGAGCTGAAGCGAAACATGAAACATCATACACTCAGCTTCTCTCTGTCTCTCTTTCTTTCTTTCTCTCTCTCTCTCTCTCTCTCTCTCTCTCTCACACACACACACACACACACACACACACACACACACACACACACAAATCCACTCCTCCTCCACATTTCCCTAATTAATGCATACATATGGTGGAGAATAGAGTGGAAACAAGGCACTGCTCAGATTTTAAATAAACCTTCACCATCTAATGAGTCGGGCCGCCATGGCTAGTTTATCACTAATTGTGCTTTCTGTTAATGAGAGACTGCCTTAATACGAGAGTATGTAATGCATTCACATATAATAAAATCTTGAATACTTCCGTCAATTAGAGTGACAGAGGTTGAGGAATCATGTATCTGATGATCGTACATTGAAGCAGTTTTTGAAGTGATTAAGCAGCAAATTTTGCTTACATAATTCGCCTAAAATGTTTGTTACACATACACAAGAGTTGCAAAGATGAACTGTGTAAAGACAAAAAATCCGGTGCTCTATAGACTCACGGATGTAGTAGATTAAAAGGGATTTTGGGGGACATCATTCTGTAGAAATAGGTTTATACAGCCTCTGAAGTGTATCTTCATCACATCATAAAGTGGGAAAGGCCATTTCTGGGTGTGTATGAGAATATCCGTAACTGACTGCATGACTGGCCAAGGACTCCAGCTCACTGATTGACAGCCTTGTTCCCTACATCTATCAATGTCCGATCTGCAGCTGCCACCACATGGACATCATCATCACTCAGATTCTGGCTTGTGAAGGAAAAAACAACAGCAAAACTGAGCAATAAATGACTTATACACTATATTTGGCGCAACAACATATTACAGCTTATCGTATTTACAGTAACATCCTGTGATTTACAGTGTTAACCCCTTCTGAGATCCTTTTAACCCTGTACTGGTTATATTACTGATTGTTTTTTTTTTGTTTGTTTGTTTGTTTTCTTTTGTTATAACAAGGAGGCCCAAATTTATAGAAACTCCTTTGAGTGTTGGAGATAATTAGGTCCTCTCCAGTAAGGAAGGTTCTGTCCCATAGTTTCCTCTCTCTATAACTCCAAGCACAGTATGAATGACCTACCATATAAGCGGAAGGCTGATCCATGGACATTAAAATGCAAACGTGCACATATTTCCTGGCATTAAACTTTATGACGCATTGAAACCACTGTCTCTCAAGTAGTAAATCCTAATGGGCTTCTGTGATATTTTTACTCGGCAAAGATATCATTCGATGTCATTGTTTCATACAAACAGTCAGGTACAAAGCGACAAGAGCTCGGTCTTTTGAAATCACCTCACACACACACACACACACACACACACATACACACACACACACACACACACACACACACACACACACACACACACACTGAACAGGGCAACATATGCGGTTCAGTCGCTGTCGCCGCATTTTTGTCAGCTCGCACTGAAATGTATTTCACTGTCTGCCCCTTAATTTTGATTTATTGTCCATGCACAAATTAGAAAAATATGCTTTAAATTTCAGTTCCATGGCCGTGCAGTGCCTGGTGCCTAGGGACCAGGTGATGTTTAACATGTCTGAAATACATATTGGATTAGTGCGCTTTGTTTCTCCCCAACAGCAGGTGTTTCATCACCGCTGATGGCTGAACTTAAATATGTTAGGACAGCAACCCCCCTAAGAAATAAGCTCCTGTGCTAGAGCATAGCATAAAGCCTAGAAAAAACCTCTCCCATCAGCTCTAAATATATAACTTGTGAACAGATCATGAGTTTGAAAACCGTTAACTGACCTAAACTGAAAAGCTATCACTCTGATATATTTGTGACAAACATTGTTCTCGTGCGTGTCAATTGTTTTTGTTCTTTAATGCTGTTATCCCCCGACTGCGATGGACGTCCCCGAGCGTTTGAAGAGCACCATGACAATCATGAAAAACTGACCATTTGGCAAGCGTCACATTTCTGAGCCCTGACTCTTGTTTCTTTTCCACTCATCAGAAGGCATTTAGCAGAGCAAACGTTTCCAAGGTCAGACTGCAAGCGTTCACAATAGTTAATCAACTGTGAACAAGATATGATAAATGGTAATGGATCTCAAACAATATACTGTAATTTAAAGTAATAAGAGGTCAAATAACAGATTTCTAATTTCTGCATTTTATTTCAGTGGACTTTTTTCGTTGGTGTTTTTCAATCTAGATACCCCTATAAAGAGCGACGTTCCATACATCGCAGGATGTTAATGTACTGTACCAGATTTAGCTTCAGTGTCCAGGTGAGATACATTTTGTGCAATAGGTGTTGACATTACACATACCTACAAGATGACGTTAAACAACAAACAACAGTGTTATAAGAGAGAAATAGTTTGCAGAAAGGAGAGTCACATAAGCGAAACATGTCTGAGTGTGAGCATAGGTGCAGTTCGGCGCAAATTTACAACATACTGTATTTGATTGATGGACGAAATGTCAACAAGTACAGCTTTAATGGAGTATTGAAATAATACAGCAGTTTATGTCATGCCTTTGCCAGTTGAATGTTGCTGAATACATTCCCTTGCTATTATTAGAGATCATCAACGCATTATTTATCTGAGTGACATGAAGCAAATTGTGTTTAATAAATTACCTTAATGGACACCACTTTTTTCTCAACACAATGTTTCCTCCTGTTAAGCCTAGTATTCATTTCTCACAAGCTGGATCTTTGGTCATGTAGCTTTATTTGTGCTACCAGTACTGCTAGGCTATACTGTAGCTACCAAACTAAACCATTGAAACCTGTCTTGCATGGTCAATCACATGTTTTGTAATGTAAAAAAACCAAAACAAAGCAAAAAACCCCCCAAAACTTCAAGCTGTGCATTATTTTGGTCAGTGATTATGAAATCAGTTTGTTATCTTGGAAAAAATGGAGATCTGTATGCTATTCACTGGGTAACTCATTAGCGGATAATTTGATTGCCATGTCAAGCCCTGATGCCTTGTTTCTCCTGGTTGTTTGGTCATTAATTAAATATGGAGGGGAATTGGTCAAAGAGGTTGAAGTGGCATTTCTCAACTGGAAAACAAGTGCAATAAGAAATACAGTAGAACTGTTCGGGCATGCTAAATGTATAGAGCTTTGCTGATTTGAGCAAACAAGAAAAAATATTTTGGCTCTGTGTGTTATTGGATGTTTTGTTATATATATTATACGCTGTACAGACTCCATGGACGTGTGTGTGAAATTGGTCAAGGACAGGTCAAGTTAAGTTGTGGTAAGGCAGATTTTTAACCCAGTTGTCAGTATAGTGTGTCGGAGTGGACAAAGGCCTGTCATTTGCCCTCACCCTGAATCAATCCTAATCCCCATCCGTGGTTGTTTGCACATTAATCCTGCCACAATTAGATGACAAAGGGCAGTGTTTTTTTTTTAGATGATAGCCTGCAGCTCTGTACTTGAAGACCTAATCAGAAAGATAAACTCTGCTGTATTTCAATTTGGAAGAGCGCTGTTCCGCAAAGAAGCGCCTGGCATGGCGATAAATAAAAATGCCTATTTACTCCATGGACACCCTACTGCTCTCTACCAGCCCCCTAATCACCGTGCGCATTGACCAAAGACCTTAAATCTTAAATCACTGCACACTAAAGCTAATGATTAGTGTTGCTATTGAACGTCAGAATCAAACCATTCTCAGTGGTAGATCAGGATTAGAAGTGCAATTGGCCTGAGGAATTGAATTACCACCTACTGTAGCTTGAAGTTTGAACTTAAATAATATAAGTGAAAAGGGAGGGGGGTTAAATCACATACATTTCACATGATCATATGTTTTTCCCATGATTATTTGAGTAGTATGTGATCACACAGCGAGTTTGACCGTGTTGTACTCTGACTTTGCATGTGGGAGTTCAAGTAAACATGTGGCATTGTTTGAATAATATGTGAGAATGTGTGAAAAAAAAAATTGACGTACATGTGAAATTTTTTGTTTTCTGCCTTTGTTTTCTTTCCTGATAATTAGAATTCAGTTTTATATGGGGATTTTACTAAAAACAAATCAAAGTCAAATTCAGATCCTGTGTAGACAGAAATAAACATATTATAATTTTATTATTTTTTGTTTCATCTAGCATCTGCTTGAGACTAGCCCTGCATGCTAATTGGTATACTTACACTGTGTATAAACGTATGTACTCTTTTTGGGAAGAAAAAGTACACACGTTTGAGTGTGCATTAAAGGAGTATGAAAGTACTGAAACACACTAAAACGTCGTGTAACGGAAGAGAACACGGTCACCATAAACAAACCCCTCGATGCATTTCAGCTTTTCTTCATTCATTATTCCTTATTTAATTGATACTATATCATTTCATTTATTGTTCATTTGATTTATTTGTCCACATTTAATTTACACCTCACTTAATTGCGTCCTTGGCCGTCACAAAACTCCGCCTTTCTCACACAAGGAGTTGTGGGAAATGTTAGCTGAAAAAGTGTCCTCTGATCCA